CAAACTATGGTCCTTAGGTCTTATATGAGAACTGACATTTAATTGATAGGATTTTTCTTAATATATGGAAAGTTTCTAGTAAAGCAATATTCTTCGCAACTTGTATGTTGATGTTACCAAGGACACTGTTAGCAATGGTCCTTAGGCCCTATAGAAATGTTATTTAATTATTTAGCACTTTTCTTAGAATATGGAATGTTCCAAGTAAAGTGATATTTTTGGCAACTTGTATGTTGATGTTACCAAGGACACTGTTACTAATGGTCCTTAGGCCCTATAGAAATGTTATTTGATTATTAGCACTTTTCTTAGTATATGGAATGTTCCTTGTAAAGCGATATTCTTCGCAACCTTTATGTTGATGTTACCAAGGACACTGTTAGTAATGGTCCTGAGGCCCTATAGAAATGTTATTTAATTAATAGCACTGTTCTTGGTATATGGAATGTTCCTAGAGTATCTGTCTATATTTCTGAGATGATGTATTTTTTAGACTATTTACACTGCTAGGACTATCATCCTCATCTTTGTTGCCATATTTATCACAACGTTTCAGGCCGTTGTACGCTCCGGCTTTCTTCAGGTGGTTGGAATGTCGAACTGAGCCCTTTATTTCGCTCGATGGGGTAGACTGTTCTAGTCTAAGGGATGTAAGTTATCAGTTATCTCCTGTTAATTCCCCGCTCCAAGTTCTCCACCGCCTTAACCAGGTATTGAACTGTGTCCTTGAGAAATAAAGGGTCCAATTCGATATTTCAACTACCTGATGAAAGCCAGAACGTACAACGGCCAAAACGTGGTGATAAATATAGCAACAAAGATGAAGAAGATAGTCCGAGTAATGTAAATAGGGATGTTCCTAGTAGGGCGATTTTCTGGGCAATTTGTATGTTGTTACCTGGGACACTGCCCATTCTTTTTCTCATAGGGGCCCAGAGCTCCGATTACTACTGATACTGTCTCAGTCTTCATTCCCCACAACCTGTTCATATCGATCTCGAGGTCCTTGTATTTGAACAATTTCGCGATAATTTACATGCAGGTGTTTCACTCAAATGTTACTGCTATGTCAATAAACATACACTTCCTGAATTTCTTGTCTTTTATGATAATATCAGGTCAGTTGGCTTTTATTTCCCTGTCAGTTTGAATTGACATGTTCCACAGGATAGTTACATCGTTATCTTGGATAGCTGTGTCTGGTTCATACCATCTTTCAGAGGTTTCGATTTTGAACATCTTGCATATCTTCCGGTGCACATATGTCGCTACCTTGTTATATCTGTGGGTATATTCATTTTTTGACAGTTCCAAACGTCCTGAGATAATATGGTCGACAATTTCAGAATATTTTCCGCAGATCCTGTATTTCAGGTTAGTTACCTCCTTGACAATGTGACAGTGATAGGATCTGGTTGCGAGGCTATGACCTTGAGCTTCAATAATCAGGCTTTCTTTCTCAACTTTCAGCCCAGTCCTCCTCAGCCACTGATGTGTTTTCTGTTGGTCCACATCTGCTTCTTTCGTTCTTTTTCATGTATTTGCCACGAAACGCCTTGTCCTCCCAGTTTTGTTGTACTTTCATTTGGCCAAATACTTTTGCTTTCTGCTTTACTCGTTTGGCATACATTGTATTCGCTTCGTTTTTTGTTGGTAGGATTTCAGTTATATTAAGCTGTTTCTTGAAGAGTGTAGTATGTTTGTTGATGGAGTGAATTTAGTGTTCTACTATTTGTAGGAGAGGATCATTGGTTTTTGTGGGGTCTGCTTCCAATCTGATTGTTGTAGTTTTTAGAGTTCAAGTTGGATTATGCCTCGGACTCCTAAAGCTCTCATTTCCTTTCAGCCAATCAATATCTGATTTTGGGTGATGCATCCTCATTTTGGTAAGCATTTTTCTGGCCTTGGTGTCCAATCTTTTAATGACATTCAACTTCCATTTAATAATGTTAAAGCTATATGTTACCACGGGTATAGTTAACGTCTGATAGCCTTCATTTTATTGGCCTTTTTAAGTTCGCTTTCTAGTACCCGACTCACTCTCTTATAATATTCTCTTTTCGGATCTTTTTCTTCATAATTAAAAGTTGTATTCCGTTTTCTTCATTAATTCCTAAATATCTGTATGTACCTTCTTGGTTTAGTTCCTTCATCTTGTTGATTTCAATGTCTAAATCCGTAGTTTTCGTTAGTTTACCGCCTTTGAAGGTGGCTATGGTCATTAGCAGATTCCGAAACTACATCCTAATGGCTTCGCTAAAGGTTGTGATAAAGTTGAGTAGGTTTTTCTGATGGTTGTCATCTGTGACAAAAGTTTTAGGATCATCTATATAAAATAGGCGATTCAGTTTGTTATTCACTGTCTTGTATCCGTGGCTACTGTTGTTCAGTAGTCAGTTGAGTGGCGCTAATACAAGACAGAAGAGTAGCCGTGATAATGGATCTCCTTGGAAGATCCGCTTTTGATATTGATTAGTCTCGATGTTAATGACCCGTTTGTATGGTTTAGATTTGAATTCTGTTGTATGCACATTTCCTTCCGGGTCCCAACCAGAGACCTATGGAAAAACCATTTTCATATTTTACACTGATCATTTTTTTTTTTTGTTTAAAATAACTAAGATCACATACATTTTACATAGATAAAGCCCTTCGTAATATATGAGCTGTACATGTTAATACAACGTTTTTGTATTGCTGTAAGACATGGACTACATGGAATCTTTCAATATGTTCTATATGAACATTTTCCAGTCAATCCGAGGACTCCAACTACAACTGGAATTATTGATGTCCTTGTGTCTCACATTTTTAAGATTTCCATTTGAAGATCCATGTATTTTGATAGTTTTTTTTTTTTTTTTTTTTTTTTTTGAAGATCTTTAAAGACACATTTCAATCTTCAAGGACTGCCATGTCAATAAGAAAGCACATTCTATTCCTGTGGTCTTTGATCAAGATGTCTGGGCGATTAGCTTTGGTTGTTCGATCTGTGCGTATTGTAAAGTTTCATAAAATTATTACAGGTCTCGTGCCTTTAACTAGTTTTAGGTGATGTTCATTTTTACGGTTTTTTGGGTATATACTATAGGTAACTAGTGAGCAGGTCAAAATGACTTAATTCCCTTTATAGTCTACCAATAGAAGGTTGACCAATCAGAAGCCGCAGAACATTGTATCCGTCGTGTATAAAGGCGGCCATCTTTGTTTTTCCTACCGGGAGGACCAGAGCCAACTTGTCAGGCGAACATGACAGACGGAAGAACTACGGTCTGCTACTTTGCTGTGATATCCACTGCGAACCTGAGCTACGCTTTCCTACTGTCTCCGAAATATTCACTGCCAACCTCTGGATTCTATGCTCGAGGATGACCGTCATGAAAATGTCTAACATTTCCTTCCCATAAAAGTTACATATTTTTAGATTGATTCACACTATCATGCCGAGTTTTATATTCAATGGGGGCTAACACTTTGCAACCTGACACTAGATGAACATTTGTTTCTCGATATTTATATTATTATTATTATTATTATAAGTTCCTTTTATTTCTGTTGTATACTCCATTCCTTCTTAGTCCGAAACAGAGACCTAATATCAAAAATGGCATGAGGCCATTTTCACTGCACATATGTGTAATGCAAAACAATCTACAAGCACACATTCATTTTACAGAGATAAAGCCCTTCGCAGAATGTGGGCTGTGCTTATGAGAATCGTCTATTGCATTTCTTTAAGGCATGGGCAGCAAACGATTTCTTCAATGAGTCTATCAGCAGGTTTTCCAATCAAAACCAGATTTCCACAATTGGAAATTACTGATGTATTTCATTATTATTATTATTATTATCATTATCATTATTATTAAAAAATAAGAGAAAAAGAAAGTAAAGTGCCGAAACGGTAACAATTGCCTGTAGTAGTTTTAACTTTATTATTATAATTATTATTTTTATGCGGCGTACGGTGGCCGTTAAATAATTAAGTATAACTCAAGACTTCAATGTTAAGATAAAATAGTATTTAATTACAACTGCAAATAAATACTTAGCAAGAACAAAGACATAAAAGTCAACCAAAGATAAGTAACCATTTCAGTGAATACCTTGTTAGTGGCGCGGCTCGGCTTAACGTCCGGTAAATCCTAAATCAAAACCCAAATCATGGACGCGCAATAATTCACACTAATTCGACTGGATAGTTCCACTCAATAGTCACACAATAATCACTGTAGTCAGTAGCCTGACACCGCTATTTATACATCTAGCGGAAAACATATATTCATAAGTTCAGAGTGTCATGATCGAATCTCGGTGTCAGTAGTTACTCATTTTCTTTCTATATCACAGTATTATTCACATTCAGAATTGTTTTTATCGCAATGTTTCATCTGTTTCACCCTGCTGCGTTCATCAGCAGTCTGACGATCCAGTTAGCCTTTAGGGAATTTCGAATTGCATCCTAGCCTAGTGTTTTAAAGCGTCCGTTCGAGAATTTGGAGTAATCTTGTGTTCAATCCCCTGGTCGGGTGTGACTCAGTAGAAACAAGGCGAGCACTGACTGAGCAGTACTATATAAGAACTAGAAAAGATATATTCCGAGACATATCCAGCGAAAAGAGAATCATCTAACCCTGCAGATTTAATAAAATGTTTATTTCGAAATTACCTAACATAAGTAAGAGGCAGATAAAATTTCTGGGACACGTAATGAAAAGAGAGGGTCAGGAGAATCTGATACTCACAGGTTGAATAGAGGTAAAAAGAGACAAGGGAAATCAACGTCTGGCATACCTGGCAGGCTTAAGCAAGTGGATGGCAGAACGTCGTCTGGGAGAGTTGGCAGAGGCACGGAACTTATTGAGAGCTACAATAGATAAGGAGATGTGGAGAGCCATGATCGCCTACGTCCTTAAAGGACACGTCACATAAAAAGAAATTCGGAATTCCCTGATGGTTACCCAGATCGATAAACACCTGAAGCGGAGCCCGGCTTAGCCCCATATCAAGTTGAAATGCCGGTTCCCGTACGATTACCGAAGTTAAACAACGTCGAGACTGGTCAGTATCTAGACGGGTGACCGCTTGAGAATGCCGGGTGTTGTAAGCTTGGTTGTGCGGGTGGTGTAATGGATAAGGGTCGAAATTGTTAATCAGGGAGCCGACTTTCAGTTCCAGATCGGTTCGTTCTATTCACTTACGCGCAAGTACCCTTGAGAAAAGGCATGAATCCAACTCTTATACCATCACTCAGCTATGGATGAATTAATGAGACTTGTTTCACTCAATCATTAATATAACCAAAGAAACAATTTATACAATTTAGATAACCTGCCAAAAAATTGATTAAGCTGTAGAAAACAAATCTGTCATCAGTGAATCTGGATGAATTCTCAAAGCTAACTTGTCTGGGAAGAATTTATAATGGGAACATCGCTTGTTCATGGATAACCCATCTCTGTCGCTGGTACAAGAAATTGTTACAGCCGGCGATTTCCAAGCTACAATAGACAACCAAGAGATCTACGTATCATGTCCATGAACTGATGCACTACGCGGTATTTGATGACACAAATTTCATGGCCGTTAGATCCATCGGAAATGTCATAGACACACAGCGCCTGGTTTGGTTTGGTTTGTTTTACGGCATATCAACACCTCAATGGGTTATTTAATACCAACAACATTTTTATTGCTGGTAATATTTTTTCTCTATCTATCTATCTATCTATCTATCTGCCTCGGTCTCTTCATATCTATCTATCTATCTATCTATCTGTCTATCTATCTATCTATTATCTTTTGATTTGGTTTATTTTGTTTTACAGCATATCAACATCAATGGGTCATTTAATGTCGACAATTATTTTTCCTGGTAATGTTTTGTTTTATCAAAAATCTATTTCTGGTAATATTTTTTTCAAAAGTGTATTGTTGGTAATTATTTTTTTAAATGCATTGCTGGTAATATTTGTTTCCTCAAAAATGTATAGCTGGTAATATTTTCAAAAATGTATTGCTGGTAATAATTTTTTACAAAGTATGTCTGGTATTAAAACCTATTTTTACACTTTCATAACTTTTTTTACCCCATTTTCGCGGTTAGCTATTTGCCCATAGCTGGGACCTTAACAGGTGCTACCATCCCGGGTCAGGATGGACCTGGGAACACCAGCAATTAAGAGGTGGTTCAAAGTTCCTCAAAACCTCCTAATCAGAGGTTTTGCTGTTGGGCGGTGTTTATGGTCTTACCCTGGACGCGGATGTAGTTTATCTTCATACCCAGGACGCCCGACAGCGCCTGGAAGCTTTCTTCTCATGCAGGACCCGATATTACCGACAGGTTTGAACCCGTCGATTATCCCCACCTTGTTTGCAAGCCAGACGAAACGGTTCAACTCTATTTCATGTAAAAGTTATTTGGAACAACGGGTAAGATTTGGGAGCCGGGTGGGAACAAATACAGGCGAACTACTTGTAAATTTGTACGACTGTTCCTCCGAAAATACAAGTATAATTCACTGAACGTCAGGTCAAACGGATCATTTCCAAATATACAATTATAACTATTAGTTGTAAATATATCTCTAAACTATAAAAGGCAGGATGTGTGTGTGTGTGTGTGTGTGTGTGTGTGTGTGTGTGTGTGTGTGTGTGTGTGTGTAATGAATGCACGGCCGCTATTTTCGATGGATTTGCACCAAAATTTACATGCACATGCTCTAAGTTAGCGGGAAGGCCAAGACCGACTTTGCATTTCCCAACTCCCATCGATAGTAGAAATAATCAATTTTTTCATGCTTCTGTGGCAGTTTTCATGTAGTTTTTCTTCTGTTTTTTGTACTGGCCAGAGTGAGAGCCTATAGCTGGCTGCCACGAATAGGCAGGAAGATTCTATTGGCCAGCGTGAGAGCCAACAGCTGACTGACACGAATGTTAACTAGCATGCTCTCATGGAAAAAAAAAGTGGGAAAAATTTAAATTTGCATGGCACTTTACTCCAATTGGCTCATTCGCTTGCTTGAACTCAACGTTGATTCTGATTCCGTATTTGTTGTTAACATTCTTTTTTTCATTCGGTTTTTCCAGTTACGAGTCCTTTTTTAAAGCCAATCGTTTTGTGTTCATTTTGTTTAGTTCTTTTTTTCGTAACAGATTTAATGTTTAGTATAGAGCTTAGAAAAATTCGCAGTGTGAGATAGGCAAGAAGTAAGGCATGTAGCAACATCAGCACGGCAAAGGGCACTCCTTTAAAGGCAAGGGAGGGCAAAAATATTTTAAGTCAAGTGATAGCGATTGTTGTATGAGTCGTACGATTTTTGAACCAAGCACGGGCAACGCCGGGCCATGCTGCTAGTTTAAATAATAAATCAGAGGTGGTAATCAATAAATAATAGAAAATAATATAGGATAAATAATAGAATGTAATCACTAATATGTATGAAAAATATTTTTTTTATAAATTATTGTCCTTCGTTGAAAACCAATTGCTAAAATACCCAAAGCGAAATAAACGTTAGGAATCGAAATAGCTCTCCTAGAAATCCTGCGAAATACCTCGTCTACATATACTGAGTAATGCCTCCTGGAAAATACTACGAAATCACTATCCTTAAAATCTTAGGAAGTGTCACGCATACAAATCATAAGAAATACCTCCAGAAATCCTTCGAAATGCCTCTCCTACAAAGCGAGGGAAATGCTTCTCCGACAAATCCTACGAAAAGCGTTCCCTACAAATCCTGCGAAATACCTCACTTGCAAGTCCTACGAAATACCTGTACTACAAATCCTACGACATGCCATTGCTACAATTCTAAGAAATGACTCTTATACAAATCTTACGAAATGTCTCTCCTACAAATCCTACGAAACACAACGACAATAAATCCTACTAAATGCCTGTCCTAGAAATCCTTCGAAAAGCCTCTCATACAAGTGCCTCTATTACAAATTTTACGAAAGGCCTCTGCTACAAATACTATTAAATGAGTCATCTGCAAATACTACGAAATGCTTTCCCTGCAATACATCGAAATGTTTCTCCTAAAAATTCTACGAAATGCCTCTTTTACAAATTCAACAAAATGGCTCACCTACAAATCAAACGCAATACCTCTCGAACAAAACCTACGAAAGTCCTCTCCAACAAATCCCACGAAATTCCACTTCTACAATTCGACAAATTCTACGAAATACTTCTCAGAAAAATCCTAAGAAATACAACTCCAAGTATTTATAAGAAATGTAACTCCTACAAATCCAACGAAATGACACTCCTGCAATACCACAAAATGCTACGCCTACAATCCTAACAAATGCTTCTCCTACAAATCCAAAAAATTGTCACTCATACAATCCATACTAAATACCTCTCCTAGAAAACCTACGAAATACCTCTCTTACAAATCATATCAAATGCCTCGCCTAAAATTTTACGAAATGGCTTCTTACAAATCCTACGAAATGTCTCTCTCCCAACCCTACGAAATACCATTCCTATAATCTTACGAGAAGCATCGTATATAAATCCTACGAAATGCCACAACTGCTAATCCTAAGAAATCTCTCTCCTACAAATCATATGAAATCACCCTCCTACAATCTTACAAAAAGCCTCGTCTATAAATCCTCTTCTGCAATCCTACAAATCCTGCGAATTTCCACTCCTACAAATTCGTCAAAAAGGCTCTTCTACAAATTCGTCAAAAAGGCTCTGCTACAAATTCGTCAAAAAGGCTCTCCTGCAAATTCTAGGTAATGCCGCTCCCACAACCCTATTAAATTTCCTTCCTACAAATACTACAAAATGCTTCTTCGACAAATCATACGAAATGCCCCTCCTTCAAATCCTTCGAATTTCCACTCCTGCAAATTATACGAAATGCTTCTCCTAGAGTCCATCTATATAACTGTCCCATGAATCCTAAAAAATGCTTCTTCTACTATCTAATAAATGCCTCTCGTAGAAATCTTGCGAAATGTCTCTCGTACAAATCCCTCGAAATCCCTCTCCTACAATCCTAAGAAATAAGTCGTCTACAAATCCTACGAAATGCCCCTCCTATAAATCCTAGGAAATGAATCTTCAACAAATCCTACAAAATTAATCTCCTACAAATACTTCGAAATATCTCTCCAAAATGTGTCTCCTAAAAATATTACGAAATGTCTTTCCTACAAATCCTACTAAATAACCCTCCTACACTCATATGAAATGCCTTTCCCATAATCCTACTAAATTCTCCCTTTCAAATTCTTCTAAATTAATTTCCAACAATCCCTCGAAACCCTTTCCTAAACTACAAAGAAGAAGAAAAAGAAATGATAATCAGTACGATGAAGAGGTGATACCCAGTATGAAGAAAGAGAAAGGGTGATATTCAGGACGAAGAAACATAAGTGATAGTCAGGAAGATCAAGAAGAAATAAAAGGAGGGGTACTCAAGAAGAAGAAGAAGAAAAAGAAGAAATGATACTCAGGAAGATGAAAAAGATGTGATACCCAGGAAGAAGAAGAAGAAGAAGAAGAAGAAGAAGTTGTACTCAGGAAGAAGCAACAGAAGTGATTATTATTATTATTATTATTTCCTTTGATTTCTGGCGTGTACACATTTCTTTCCGGGTACCGTCCAGGGACCTAAGGTTAGAGATGGCATCATGACACTTTCCACTGAAAAAAAATACAGACAAAGCCCTTCGTAAAGTGTGGGCTGTACTTGTCAGAACAATTTTTTGTATCTCTTTGAGGCATGGACTTCCAGGAATCCCTTCAATTAATCTACTGGAATCTTTTCCAACCAATCCTAGGGCTCCAACTACAACAGGGATTGTTGATATTCCCATGTGCCACATTTTTAGATTTCTATTTGAAGGTCCTTGTATTTTGACAGCTTTTTGAATATCTTCAAAGATACATTGCAGTCAGCAGGGACTGACATATCAATAAGGAGGCACTTTTTGTTTGTCGTCTTTAATAACAATATCTGGGCGGTTGGCTTTGATTGTTCTGTCAGTGTGTATTGTGTAGCCCCATAGAATTGTAACAGGTCCTATCTCCGTAACCGGGTCTGGGTGGTGTTCATACCAGTTTCTTTCAGTTTCCTTC